CGGCCCAAAACGCGCAGACGCGCGCGCGCATTCCCGCGCCATGTCGTTCGATGCGTGCGGGCGCCCGCCTGCGAGCGCACGACCGTTGTTTTTTTCGTGGCAGCCGATGGCAGGTGCAAGGCGATGATGCGCGGCGCGTCTTTCCCTTGTTATCGTTGCAAGCGATGCCGTTGCTTGAGCCGGGGAGCGACGGTCGTGCGCGCGCTGGTTGCGGCGATGGCGCGCGGCGAGGGGGGGGGGTCTTCGCGCGCAACAATGTCGGCCTCGCGAAAGGACAGAGGACTGCGCGCGCGGTGGTAGCATGGCCTATGCGGCGACGGCGGCGGCGCGCGCGCTGCCGCGGGTTCGAACGGCGCGCGCGACGCGCGCGCGCGTTGCGTCTGAGACGGTCGCGGGCATGATGATCGGCGTGGCCCATGCAGAGTTACAGCTCGGTGAGCTTCACGAAGACGCCGAATCGAACTGGACGCGATGACACCCCGAGTTTGGCGCGCTTCCCAGAAACCAGCATGGGCGGGGCGCCAGGCGCGACGTTCGGTGGAGACGCTGAAGTCGACGCGCGCCGTTGTATGACGGAGTTGGACAACGCGCGCCGAGGCGAGACTTGGCGCGCCCGTCAAACCCGAGGCCCTCAGGATAGATTTCGGCGGACCAGCCCCACCAACAACCGAATTCAACGAGATGCACACGGGAGCCGACTTCGGCAGAATGCGCTCGCGAGTTGTCGCCAGCGTTGAAGGCTCGGACGTCGAATTGGGCGGGGTGCGCCGATGAAAATCTCCGCGCGGAACGTGCTAAGACGCAGAGATGGGAGAGGATTGGTCGGGGATCGAAATGAGATCGGCGCGTTTGGAGCTCGAGTCGGGCTGGGCGCGCCCTGTAAATGGCGCGGTTGAACTGCGTTCGGGGGCAGATGGCTTGTTTAGAAAAGGAACCGCAGCAACGCGGGCGCGCTCGCAAACCGCTTCTTGATTCTGGAAAGAGTTCGACAGCGCGCTCTCAATGGTCGGGCGAGCCGCGCCCAGAACTCGCGCTACGCGGGACCCAATACTATTGCGCCAACGTTGGCAACGTGCGACGCGCGCTGCCGCTGCCAACGTTGGCTGGGCTGCGCTCAAAGGCGGACGGGTCGCGCCCAGACGCCGAAGCGCTGTGTCCGAACATGTCGGGCGCATTGTGCTGACGGGGGTCGCGCGCGCGCGTGGTGGCGGCGCGCGCGTGGCGTGGGTGGAGGGGGGGTGGGGTGGGGTGGGGTGGGGAGGGGGGGGGGGGGGGGGGGGGGCAACCGAGCAGGCGCGATTGCGAAGCCGAGTTGCATGCGAGCAGTCGAGCAACTGCGGTAGGCGGGGCGCTGGCACTAGGAGCTAACAGGTTCGTGGCGTGCGCTCGGACGGACGACATGATTCCAGATTCGCGCGCTGGTTATCAAGAATGCTCTCGTAGACACATATTGATGGCCCGCGTCTCGAAGCCGAGTTACATATAATGCGCCGAGACGCAGAGTTCGGTGGGACGCGCTCACAAGCCAAATGCGTTGGGACGCATTGGGGAACACGGTTCGGCGGAGCGCGCTGCGGAGCCCGTATGGCGCCAAGACGGCGCAGACGCCATGACATGGCGATGGCTTCGGTCGGAGTGCAAAATGCAGCGCCAGATCGGTTGGTGCCGATCCTTGGCCGAACGCGAAGGGGATTGGCGGCTGCCTCCTGGTGCAACCGAACGCCGCGGGCAAAGCGACAGCAAGTTGCAACGGTGCCCAGGCCAAACGGGGATTCGTTGCATCGCAGCGCACTTGCTGCCGCGAGCGCACCGAGGAAATAATAAACTCGACGTAGGCACTGTGGCAATTCGCCCCAGGCGGAGGGTAACTTGGACCGTTGAGCGCCGATATGAAACTGACATCAACGATCGGGGTTGGAAAGGCAGCGCGAATCTACACCGGCTAGCCACCCCGACCGAGCGAGTGCATGCGCGCATTGTAAGCATTGCGTTGACGCCAAAATGGCGGTGCCGCAATTGCGATCGGAGGGCGGCCTCTGGTGGCACTGCGCATCGGTGGCATTGGCGGTCGATCGAACGCCAAGAAGACATGGCACGGCCTTCACCGCGCCGTTGTAGCCATTTAAAAGCACGAGCGGCAACGAGTCCACGCAACGTGAATTGAATATCCGTAAAAGCGCTGGCACACATGCGACCGCCAATCATGGGCACGTCGCTACACGTCAGCGGCCAGCCTTGTAGTGACAGGCGCCAAGGCAAACGTAGTATTAGCGACAAGCGCATTCGTACTGGCTCGTGCAGGAATAGAACAGTAGCAATAAAACTCGTGGCTGACATCTCAAAATGAATTGAAAAACGTGGTGGCGTTCGGCGTTGCAGTCTTGCATGTAGCAATCGTAGTGCTACGAGACTAGGTGAAAGCCTGTGGCTGTGAGCATTTCGGGTAGTACCCACACCAATGGCAGCAGCACGGGTGACCGACACAGAAGCTGTAGTACTAGCATCCGTGTCCACATGCGAAACATTGGCCTTGCACATTGCAGGAGTAACGCAAGCAGCGCGAATACAATCAAATGCGCGAAGCATCAAGGGTGTTATCACCACCCGTGCTAACACAAGTAGCGGCAGTACTCGAAAGAGGTCGGGTACCAGCTGCATTGGTAGTAGCTATAGTTGCGATGCGGTGCCGGCTGGCGTGGAGCAGGCAGAGCAGTTGGAGTTCTTTCAGCAGCAGTGGAATAGTTGTGGCTGTATCGGTATCATACATTGGGCGCAGCCATTCGTGGCGATGGCAAACGCAGTAGCAAGCATCCCGTTACTAAACGTTCGAATCGAATCGGGGCGCGGCTGTGGTACTTCACATAAACACGAGCCCGACATCCATACATCATGTGTCGTTGTAGCGTGTGGGTGGTGGTCTTAGGGGTAGCGGCTTGCGTTGTAAGGTCACGCGGTGGCGCGCGGGATAGCCCGCGCGCCGTTGTTTCGACTACTTTGTTCTTGGAATCATGCGGGCCTCCCTCAGTCAAGATGCGCCCTGAAAGCGCCTTCGAGCACTGAAGGCCTGACTGGGGCCACCTTCGTGGATCGCAGGGGGGGCCCAGGTCCGAAGTCGGCGACGGCCCCTCGGGCCGCTCGGCGTGAATCTTTAGTGATTGCACGCGGCCCTGATGGTGACCCTCGCTTTTTGAAACAAAGCTTTACCGAGTGGCCCCAATGCCGCTCGCAATTTGCATCGGCGATGGAACATCGCCAACCTTTGAGCCAAGGAGGGAAGAGCAGAAGTCGATGATATGGCGTATAAGGAGGACCAATTGTATGTCGGAGGGCGGGGGAGGAGAGCCTGAGGAGGAGAGAAGAGGAAGAAGGAAAGATACGAGACCTAAGTTGGCTGCCAAAGGCTAGGGCTCTCTGTCGGGCTCTTCGGGCTCATCTGGGCGCCTATTGCGTTCAAAGCCTTCCCTGAACCAGTACTCATGGTCGGGGTGCTCTCTCAAGAGAGCCCTGCCGTCTAAACGGTCTTGTCTATTAACGGCGGCTTCGTGGACATGACTCCAGCTGAATTCTGATGCGTGGCCGCAAGAAGGCCAGGCCATCAAATAACCGAGAGGCCGGCCTTGGGCCTCGAAGCTCGGACCAGCCCTCTTGGAGGGCAAAAGTGTCCGCTGCTTTCTGCAATCCTTGTGAAACGTGCACGCGGCAACAACGAAAGACTGACCACCGTCCGTCATGTAGTGTTTGAGTGCGCCACCTCGGACTCGAATGGGACGATGTGCGACTCCACGAATCCCAGCCACTCGGAACTTCAAATCACCTGGATCCAGTTCTGACGGCTCAGGCGGTTCAGGCGGGGGTGGAATGTCTTCATCTCGAGCGGGGTCTTCTCCGCCAACGGGAAGCTCCAGATGTTCCTATGGCAAGGGCGGCCCGTCCCCGTCCTTCCCTACTCATCTCCCGCTCCCCAACTCTCTCTACCCGATCGCCTTCGAGATTTAGAGCGGCCCCCAGGACCCAGCCGCGTCGGAGGAGGGACGCGGCGAAGCTTCCAAACGCTGCAGAGGGGGTTGGGTTCGAGAGTTTGGGGGCACAACGAATAGAGAGAGTGAGGAGAGCGGGAGGACACCAAAACATACACTTTCTTTGGGAAGGCCAACGGGGTCCTGTAGGGGTTCCACCTGGTCTACACAGCTGTCGACGTCTGAGGCCTCCTCGGAACCGCGTGGGGTCATGAGCGGGGTCAGCGGGAAGTCCGACGCACACGAGCGCGGAGAACACGGCGGGATCTCAGGATGCCCCCCAGGCAGGCCCGCAGCAGGCCCACGTTGGTCGCCACTATCCTCGTCTGAACTCTGGTCGCCTACCCACATAGACTCCTCACGCTTCTCTTCTGGGGGCCCCTGGCAGGCGTGGCGTTAGAATCGTAGCTCATCCAAGAATCTCCGCTGTCCTGAGATGGGGAGCGTTCGCGACCACCGCCATCAGAAGATTTCGGATATTTGTGTTTCTCTGCTGGTGTTTTTTTTGTCTGATGTGTAACGCTTCCTCCTCCTGGGATTTTTTTTCTCGGCAGCTCGACGACCTCAAAGTACTCGACCAACGCTGTCCTCGGGTCGATGCTGAGGATCGCATCGTCGCCATCGACAAGCGTGTAGCATCTGAAACACCATGAACAAGAATCCCGATGAACGTTGTCAATGAGTCTCATCATGGGGAGGTACTCGCTCGTGCCCCGAAGTCGCAAATAGCCTCGGTGGTCGACGAACCTGTCGGGCCAATCCAGAATGCGGCACCAAAAACAAACTGGCGACCACGACGTGGCCGATATGTGGAAGAATATGTCTACATCGTCTGGTAGATCACCACGTCGCAACTCGTCACCTGAATTCTCAGACTCCCCATCAGACTCGTATGTCGAGAGAAGCCGCACTACGAGATTGCCGTCATCAACAAGGCGCCTGGAAGCTTTCGTTGGGAAGCTCTTGGTTCTCATGCTACACAACCACAACTTGAAAGCCCATCTGTCGTCGCCGACCTCGTCGCACAAGCAGATTCCAGCACGCTGGCAACTCCACTTCTCGTTCTTGACCACTGGGACGTCTGGTATAAGAGGCTGCGAAGCGTGAACGATAACATAGCGCAGTTTGTCCCATTCCGTGGCCAATGTTTTCAACAGCTTCCGATCGTGCTCGGCCATGGTGTCAACAAGCTTCGGGGCGAACTTGGCGGCAGAAAAGAACCACGTGGACATGCACTCATTCTTCTGAAACGCCTCGCACTGCATGCCCTCAGATTCATCAGTGATGGTGGGGAAGGTGCTCAGCATGATGGGCTGCGCCTTCTTGTTGACGTCCTCCCGCAGCTGCTTGAGTGACGATGCAATCCCATGGGCCTCTTCAGAACGAGCTCCGCGAAGTGCAATGGCATCAGAACCTGCGCCATGGATCATGGTCGCAAGGCTCTGCACGCTCGGAACAATCGCCTGCCCAGCGCCACCAGCGGGTGCATGATCAGGACGGCCAGTCAAAGTCTGTGCTCGACGTAGCTTCGCCTGTCGATCGACAGCCCTCTGGATATCCAAAGGCCTCTTGCCAAAACTATCGCCTCCGAGCCTGTGCCTCAAGGTGCCTTGCCGAGCCTCCTGGATCATGGTAGACAGTTCATCTTGAGATAAGCTGTGATATTCCTGTGCAAGCGCCTTGGTGTCAGCTAATGAGCCGCCTCCTGAAGACCTCAGTTTCACGAAGAGCCTCCAAAGACCACCTCCTCCGCCACGTTGCCGAGGCTTTGGGGGCGGCTTCCCAGCGGCCTTGGCCACGGCAACTCGCTTCTTCTGTTTCAAGCTCTGTCTGCGAACAGTCCGAAGCTTCTTCATGCCAGGAGGCGTCTTCCATTGACGAAGCTTCGGCCGTAGTTTAGCCATGACCCTGTCGCCACTTATCCTTGACAAAGAAGGCAAAACAACATGAGTGCTCATGACGTCGACCACGTGCTTGATCCCCGCGTTACCGTTCTCGAGCTGCACAGTATTCAGCTGGACTAGCACGGCAATCATCGTGAGCTCGGCAAGCGCAAACTCGCTGTCAACGTTGTCTATGCCGAAGTAGTCGACAAAGCTGTTCGTGAAGTCGTCCCTGCTGCTCCTGCACGAGTTTCGTAGACTCTCCTTCGCGCTCGGGGCATCGACCAGCAACGCAAATAGAGCGAATGGGTAGCCCATGTGCACTGCATGTAACTCTGAAAAAAGCGCGGCCTGCCTCGACAGAAGCTTGAAGAGCACGTTCGAGAGGGAGAGCAGCCCCTGCGGCGGCGGCAAGCAGTCGAACAGCGTAGCATCATCATGTCTAGATTCGAGCTCTCGAAATGCAAGATCCTCTAACGAACCCAATGCAGACGCCAGCAACGGCCACTCGCGAACCTGAGAAAGCGATGTGTCGCCATGTTCCTGTAAAGCTTTCATTGACATCATCGTTTTCCACTTGTCGCTGGATTGCTGAAGCCTCGAATGCATGTAGTGGATCATGGGGTCGGCCGCATGCCTGATGCCGAGAAGCCGATCAGCAGGAGACGAGCGGAACCAGGCCTCGGCCTTGTCGCGATGACTGCGGTTCTTCTTCGCCATGTCGGCATTGGGCGCTTCACGGAGATCTGGTGCAGGCTCAGCGCCGTCGGCAAGGTCGACTTCGCCCCCTCCGTCCAAACCGTCACCGCAGTCTTCGTCTACCCGCCCGTCCTCAAGAGCGCCAGCAATGCCGGCATCACCAAGCGCATCCAGATGGGGCCGAACCTGTACACCTCCACCCCGTACTTCGCCCAAGTCTGCCCGAAACTGGAAAAACACTCCGCCTGCAAGTTGTGAATGCAGCATGGGATGCCATGGTCAGCCATCGCTTTGTCCACGCCAGTCCATCTGTTCCTGGGGTATTCGAACGGCGCGTGGGAGTACAGGAGAGGGATCAGCGTGTCGGAGATGAGATCTGCAACCTGTTCTTCGGTCTCGTCGCCGATTCTCTGCCGCTGATACACACCGTGAACTCGCCAGTCGCCTGGAGCAATTTTCAACAAGAGTGACCTGGCCTCTTTCTTATCTGGAGACCTGCCCCAAAATATATCCAACACGTGCTGCTTATACTGGATAGCGTCCTCGCTTATGTAGATGACGTCCTCGATTCTAACCAATCGTCTGATGCAGGACCTCGCGGACTCCCTGAACCTCACCATCATGCAGAAATCGTCTAACGAAAGCGTTGCGTTGACCATGCCAGACACATCGTCCGAAACACGCTTCACAGACATCGTCTTCGTGTGCATGTTGGCAACGAAATGGAATTCGCAATGAAAGTGTAAACTCGCCCAACCTGGGCGTTCTGACATCAGGCCCCGCTCGGAGCGGTCGTTGTAAGCTGCCGCGTCGCTCTCACACAACCTGGTTTTCCTAGGGAAGGACTCACGTTTTGAGGGCCCTGGGTCTAGCTTTTTGACGCATGCTAGAATTGCCTCAGCAGTACTACGATCAACGCCAAGGAGAAGCGTAGACATACCCCCAACAAGATAATGAACTACATCGCCAATCTTTTAAATGAGCCCAACCATGTTTGACGAATGCTGCACTTGCGTGGCGCCGTACAAGACTTCTGGCCGTCGTCGCTGTTGCAACTCATGCAGAACCTGCTCGACGATAGCCGTGCTTTCAACGTTGTCGGCAACAACAGGTGAAGTGATGGCAACTTGTCGCATGAACGATCGGGAGAGCAATTTCAAATCCACGCCGTCGTAGGTGCTGTAGTCTACATGTGCAATGAGCTGGACCTGGTCACCTGCAGCATTCGCAACGACCGACTCGATGCAGTGCCAGTGCATCTTCTCCATGACGTAGGAAGCGCATGCCATGGCGGCACTCACCTGCCTCACATCCTTCCTGTCGAGGCCGAGCTCCGTAGATTTGGCGCTCAAGGACACCGCGTGCTGCGAATCTGATCCGAGCAAGCTGGTCTCGACCACAGTGCCGTAAGGCCCAACGTCACGATCGGCATGCGGCTTGAATTTCACAATGTGAGCAGCAATCTGATCTCGAAGCGAAGCGCAATCTGGGTCGGCGACTGGCGTAGGGCAATCTGGGTCGGCGACTGGCGTAGGGCAATCTAGATCGGCGGCTGGCGTAGGGCAATCTGACTGGGCGTCGGCGTCTGGCTCTGGGCGTGCCTGGAGGGTCGCGTGAGGACGTCTCGTGACCCATCAGCCGTCAGCCGATCGAGGCGCGAGGAGCGCCTCGAGCAACCAACAGCCGATGAGCCACCAGACGCCATCATGCGACCCTCGTGCCTCTCCGATACACGCCAGCTCGGCCAACAACATGTCCTCTGCGTCGTCGCGGCCGCTGCTGGCGTCGCCCCCGCCGAGGCCGCGAAGGGCCTGCAGTAGCTCGTCGTCGGCCGCGCCGACGCCGCCAGAGCCGAGCTGGTGCAGGGCCGCCAGCAGCTCATCGGGGGGGCCCTCTGACATCCGTCAGAGGACCTCTGAACGCCAAAATGGCCTGGCACAAAAACGGTTGCAGTGGAGGGGGAAGGGGAGATGAGGACAAAGGAACGAGACGTGGCCAGATTGGACCGAGTAGCGGGCATGCCCCGTGGGTTCCAATTCGAGGACTGGCGTTGGCCGAAAACCAGACCCGCAGAAAGGCCCTGGATCCTTAAGGGGCCATCGGCCGAGAGACGGGGCCACGGGGAACTACCTCTGGTGAGACCTCAAAGATTTCGGAAAGGACGTGGGCTCGACTACCAAGACTACCTCTGGTGAGACCCCAATGGACCACTGGTGGGACCTCGAAAGGGACCCCTGGTGAGACCCCCAAGACTACCCCTGGTGAGACCCCAAACCTTCCTCTCCTCATCCCAGACTACCACCGTCATAGAATCATCGATTTTAGTATTTCTGCGAGACGAATGCGAAAATCGCGCGGGCAAAAAACAAGACGATCTGGCAAACAAGCGTTTGAGGCTGCAGAACGACTGGAGGGTAAAAAACGAGACGACTTGCAGGACGATCGGCCCAGGCTTGCAGCACGACCCGCGGAACGAAAACAGGTAAAAAACAAGACGGCGACGACGACCAGGGCTGTGACTGACAATCCCGACTCGGCAATACAAGGCTGAAAAGAGAGGGTTCTTCGGTATAGAGGATCCCGGTCCTTGCCTAGGTCTTCTGCGTGATATTGGTCTAGACGTGGAAGACCCGCCGACTCCGCCCGATCCCGCAGTGGCTCAGCCACTTGCGGCTCTCCCCGAAGCCAGGCTAACTGCACCGAAGGTGGCTGAGCAGCTACGTCGAATAGGAAACGGCAGCCTGTGCTACACCCCTGGCAGGCGAAACGCCCAGGACTGTCAAACCACATCTTACACTGACGATTCATCAGGAGAAGATGTTCCTGACGGACACCTGTCGGATGACGAAGACATTTGGTGGAAACAAACATGATATGGAGGCACTATAGCAAGAGACGGGCTACCTTCCGGCTCAGCCGACAGGGATCCCTTGTCCGATGATGATAATGGAAGATCTGAGGACAACGAAGAGGCAAGCCAGACCTCGAGTCCGGCGTCCGCCGCGTCGCGGCGAAGCGTGCCTCGAATGCCGCTACGAGAAAACTCAGACACAGATATCAGTCATCGTGACAAAGAAAGATTTGATTTGCAATACTTTTGTAATCCTTTTACAGATATAATATCTGTCATTGATGAGCCTTTCCAACTTCCCAATGACTGGCAATGCGCCCGCATAGATGCCGCTGTAGCCAGATCTGTCTCGAAAGACAAGGGAAAACTGCCCATTGTGGCCGCTTGTTTGCGATCCTTGTTGTAAAGAATTCAGAGTTACCGCTGGGACACAAAGACCGCAAGTGCAAAGGTCGGGTGGTCTTTGACGGTTCAAGTGTTAGAGATCAAACCAAAGACGTGGCACTATTTCAGGAACTTCCCAGCAGTCCCGCGACAATGCAGGCCAGCAAAGCAGCCGATACTTACGGGCTGTTTGAAGGCCATAGCATCGAACAAGCTGACGCTCGACAAGCTTACACACAATCAAAGTTGGGAGGAACTCCCACTTGGGTTTTCTTGCCTCGTGATGAATGGCCCAAAGCATGGTCCAACATGAGGAACCCTGTGTGTCCACTGTACTTATCTTTGTACGGACACCCTGATTCGGGGGGGGGGTACTGGGAACAGCATTGCGAGGGACATGTCACGGCGAAAGGTTTTGTGAAATGTAGTGCGTGGCGCAGCTGTTATTTCCACAGAGAACTGCAACATTTCTTGATCATTTATGTCGATGATTTTAAATTGTCGGGACCTGCCGACAAGCTTGCCCAGGGATGGAAGTTGCTTCGAGAACCCTCGGAAAATTGACCTAAGGGCGTAGAAATAGATCCTCCAACTGCTGTTGGACGATACTTAGGATGCGATCATAGATTATCAACTCAGACAATTGAGTGGCACGGAGAGTTACCTACGGTACTCGACCCGCCTCCTCCAAAAGTGAAGAAAAACGCCTCCGTCACAGACGAGAGTAGCGAGGGGGAAACGGGGGGTGACTCGGCATCTCAGATGACCGAGCCATACCAGCCGAGAGACCCTACAGTAGTAAAAGTCATCGAATACGATATGACTGAGTTTTTCGATTCCTGTGTTACCTTATATGCTCAATTGACGGACGCAGACCCGGCCACTTATCCGGCCGCGGGTACCCCATTCGGTCCAGAACTTACTGACCTAGAAGACGGACAGGGCGGCCCCAGGGGAGAGATTTACTCCCCAGCTGAGGAGGCTATAGCATCAGCGTTACAGATCAACGTTGGCACCGGCCCTCCTGATCAAGAAATAGAGGTGATTGGCCTCGATGCCGCAGCAGCTAGCCCTGATGACCCTGAGCCACCGACTCAGTCGGGAGTGCTTCAGCCAATTGCAGCAAAAGTGTTGATGAACATATTTTACGGGGCTAGAATGGCAAGATATGACTTACTCCGTGCCGTGTGTCAAGCTGCCAGTTGCATCACAAAATGGGCAGAACAACAAGATATAGACTTCTTCCGCCTAATATGTTACATAATGTACATCTCATTATCGTATGACCTCGTGGGTGGGTGATAAGAAGGAGGATGTTCTGTTAAACCAATACTCCGATGCAGATCTTGCGAGTGATATCCGAACGCACAGGAGCACGAGCGCGAGGTTCCAAGCCATATGGGGCCCATATACACGGGCAGGACAATCGATGAGTTCGCAAAGACAAACATGCGTCTCTCATAGTACCCTTGAGGCCGAAATCGCTGCGGCCGACCTTGCGTTGCGCAAGGAGCTGCTTGCGGCATTGCCGCTGTGGGAGATCCTGCTGGATAAACCTGCGCGATGTTTGTTCTCGGAAGATAACCAAGCAGTTTGCAAAGTCATCAGAGCAGGCGGGTCAATGAAGCTGATGCACCTACCAAGAACGCATAGAATTGACGCAGCAGCTGTGTCCGAACAATTTTCTCGTGGCCTTGTTCAATTACAATATGAAAGAACACAAAACGAGGCTGCAGACATTGGAACAAAACGATTCGTTGACCCAATGGCATGGGTCAAAGTACTATACCTCGTCAACATAGTGACGCCTAGGTTCTGGGCCGCTAAGCGGTACCTAGATTATCTTGATTCGACGTTTTCTGACGGACTTCCCCAAAACCCGGGGGGATTCTGAAGCCCCGCCGGGGCCCTAGTTCGGCCCTGCGGAGAGGAGCTGCCATACCTAGCAAAAAGTCAAACAAAAAGAAAAAGCGCCCCAACAAAGGCAAACCCGTTGTGGCTGCCCTTGGCCAAGCCGAGGGACTACTAAGGACGAAGAATGCAGTCAGCTCAGCTGATGTTGCAGGTCGTGTCACTCCTCGAATGTGCAAAGAGTGTTGCAGCAGAAGCTCCGAGAAAACGAGAGCGATTGAAAACGCAACGAAAAGAAGCTCCGATCGTGAGATGAAAACCATGTTTGGAATATCGGACAGTGAAAGCGAATCAGAGCCTTCCAAGAGACCTGAAAACAGGGAGGATGCTTCTAATAACGATCGCTCGCTTTACAATCCGCACTCTGCGGTGGCCGCCAACTTCTCTGATAAAAGGGATGAATGGACGAGACAAGGAAATAATTTGATACGACTTCACTATGTTCCCAGACTTGTCACATTTATGCCGATAATCGGCGATTGCCCCGTCGAGATTGATAAGCTTGAGGATAAACGTCGCACATATGCCGTCAACTCTCAACAAGGTCTGACGATAGATCGCATCGATAATTGGCGTGGCGAAGGAAGCAGATCTCATCACCCATTTGAATATGAGTCAGATGGCGATTCTAGCGACGGTGATTATTGTCTCAGCAAGTGGACGGGACACACAGAATCTAAAATCCAAGAAGATTGCGCCCCGGCCACTCTTTGACAACTCATGTAAAGTGATTCGATACACTGAAGAAGACATGAGGACGGATGAGGGACTCAAAATTGCGCTTAACGACATAGTTGCGTTCAAGGGAAACATATTACGTTGTGGGGCTCCATGCCGCGCACATGAGGCCCCCCTTGGCAGTATGTGAACGAGGCGCATTACTTCCGCACCGGAAACCACAGGGCCATGCGCAGACTTCGGGGCATTAGAACTGATTTCCGTTATTTATCTGGGAATTTCCGTGAGATTGCCCGCGCTGTGCACAAAGCGGGGGGCATTGTATGTATCGAATGGCCTACCCAATGTAATTATTGGAGAGACCCTCAGGTAAAGAGATTCTTTCGAGAGTTGGGATTTGCCAAGGCGGCGCTGCGCGGGCGCGCGCGCGGATTGAAGGATAGTAAGGGCAATTTCATGAAAAAGCCCTGGACGATAGCCACCACCTCTCCCATTGTTGCGGAGGGGCTAGAGCGCATATGTGATGGCACACACGAGCATGTTGAGGCTAGGGGAAGAGAGTGTAAGAGCGCTGAAGATTGCACCGATGATTTCGCCAAGCAAGTCCATTTTGCCATCGCCAACGCTGCTGAGAGAGGTAGGTCGTCTCATCGTCACCCTACCTCCTTTACCAATCCTATATGCGCCGCTGCCGTTTCGGCTCAACAGCCTGCGCGGGCGGCCCCGCGACCGGCCCCCCGTGGAGGCGAGCGGTTGCCCTGCCGCGACTGCTCGAATCTCGCTTGCCGCGGTTCCCGCGTGCCAGAGATACAGACGACTGAACCCATGTGTCGTCCGCTGAAGAAGAAGGCGGACGGAACACTGGGTGATGACGCGATCTCAATCTGTCCTGACGACATCATGGATGAAATTGATGTTGACAAGGGCAGAGAGGAAGAGGATTATAATAATGCTCTCCTCGCCACAATTCGAAAAGCCTCAACACCGGCTCAGCCGAGCGGGATGGCTTGCCCACCGGCTCGGCCGGATGGGGGCAGGACATGAACACTTCAGTCCAAATGACACTATATCAGAACA